AAAAAAAAAACAAAAAAAAACTATTACCCGCAATACATTTTTGGGAAAGATATTACCAGCAATACATTTTTGAACAAAAATATTACCAGCAATACATTTTTGAACAAAAATATTACCAGCAATACATTTTTGAACAAAAATATTACCAGCAATAAAACTCTTGTCTGCATTAAATAGCCCATTCAGGTTGATATGCCGTAAAAACACACACGAAAAAAAAAAAAAAGAAACAAAGATATCCTTAATAAAATCCAAAGAAGAATCTGCAATATTGTTGGCGTCTCGGATTCAGTCATTTCTCACTGCTGTAAAACTGCTTCACTGTGCAATTTCTATAAATACTTTCATGGTAATTTTTCGGATCAGATCTTTGATATGGTACCTAGACTCTTCGAATTTAAGCGCAGTACAAGACTGGCGTCGAGATCTCATCAATTTACAGTTGATCTGGCATAGATCTAACCGTAAATTCTATGCTAACAGTTTCTTTTTTCGTGTTTCTTGATTGTAGAACTCACTTCCGATTCCATGGTTTTCAGCCAACTTTAATCTGAAAAACTTTAAATGCATTGTTAATCACTATCTACTGTCCTCCTCATTAATCTTTCCTCTTCTCGTTCATTATTAATGTTTCTGTTCATAATTCTTCCACATCCTGTAACTTCTTGTGTCTTAGTGGCTTTAGTGCCTTGTATGTGGTGAACCCGATTAAAAAAGAAAGAAAAGATTGGCTACAGTAGAAGACTGCACCGGATGCCACTCCTGTCTGATAAGGGTAATAAAATGTGGCTACAATTTAGTAAGGATTACAAAATTTGAAAAAAAAAAGAAGACTGGTAAAAGGTAGCCTGATTCTCAGATTGCTGCGTAATTCGGATAGCAGGGCCAGAATGAATATATAAAATATGGATTCCTTCTGCCTTGTATCAACGGTTCAGTCTGCTGGTAGTGGTGTGTAATGGTATAGGGACTATTTTCTTGGTATTCATTGGGACTCTGGTTTGCAATAAAAGGTCGCTTAAATACTGTAGCCTGCATACATATTGGAGCTGACCATATTGTTAGAATAGAACGCACAGTATTACCTCATACGCATACATAAGTTTTTCTTCTTCTTTTTTTAAGCATTACGCCCCGAGCAAGGTGTGAAGCCACTAGGATGCAGGGGGTTACAGAAGATTTGGAGCAAGAGCAGATAGGAGTGATAGAAGAAAGGATGAGGAGAAGGATAGTGGATAGATCAAGGTAACTGGAGATGTCGATTGACATTACATTTGAATAGTTGGAGATTATAGCTCTCAGGGAAACAGTAATTAGGAAGGGTGTTCCACAGGCGAGAGGTGCAAGGTATGAAGCTATTGGAGTAGAAGAGATGGCTACATTTGAAAGTTTCTAAAAGGGTGAGAGCGGGATGTCAGCCTTGTAGGGCGCTTGAATTCATGGAGTCTGGGAACCAGTGAAAGCAGCTCATTGGAGCAATTACCATGAAATTATTTGTAGAAAAGACAGAGGGAGGCGACGGCGCGTCTGTGAGAGAGTGACTGTAGACGAGACGCCAGATCAGGGCCAATTACATTATATATCCGTCTCTGGATCTTGTCAAGAACTCCGAGGTAAACAGAAGGTGCCCCAGACCATATATGGCAGCAATACTCCATGCAAGGGCGAATGGTTGATTTGTATATTTGAAGTATCGATTCTGGGGAGAAAAATTTCCTGGCGCGGCACCGAGAGCCAACTTTCCTTGCGGTGGACGAAGCAATTGACTCAATGTATTTGTTCCATCTCAGGTCAGCAGTCAACGTGAGACCGAGCAGACGCAGGGAGTTGATCTCAAGAAGTTGACTATCAGACATTCTAATGGGGGGCAGGGAAGGATTAAGCAAGTACAAACTAACTCAGAGTCTAGCAAAAAGTAGAGTGACTAGATTATACAGCGTTTGAAATCAACTAAATTTCAAATTATGGTACTTGTAACTGTTGAGGACTGTTTTTGAAATTTTAGTCTTAGAAACCTTGGAACTACTTTTTAAGCTTTACGTTACTAAGTTTAGTATTTCACTATTTGAAACTTTGTTGGCTATTTTGAAATGCCAATCGCTACAAAGTTATGAATTGTGCTACTTGAAATTTGTGGCTACTTTTGAAAACCGAGCGTTACTACTGGGACATTTTTTTTGGGGGGGGGAGGGGTACTTTTGAAATATGTCCGAGCTAGCTTGGGATGCTAATGAGAAAAATTCACTTAAAATTTTACTAACGTTGGATCTTTAAAATGTCGATCGATTCTCTACTTGTAGCCTAAACTGGCAATCCTTGTCCAAAGAAAAACATTATTTTCGGATATTGAGTTTCCGACTTGCAACTAAGTAATTGACGCTGTTCTAAACTCGCAAAGAAATTTGATCCTGCGGAGACGTGCCGTCTTGATGGTGCCAAGTAAATGGAAATCCAATAAAAATTGTGCTAGACAGTTTGAGTTTTGTATTTAGCCATTCCTTTTTCGCTCGATATATATGATGCGCTATCGGAAAGTTCCCGGACTGTTCGTGCTGAGATTAAACCGTTCAATGGAACTGCGCGCACAGCTAAGCCTCATTGGTACCCAGACTTCTGAATCAGTCTACCAACAAGGTTATTGCTATCTATTTATGCTCAGTTATTACACGAAGTTTTGTAACGGTTATATTGAAAAGGTTCTGCAATCTTTACGATAGCTGACAAATTCGAGCAATATACAAATTTTGCGTAAATCTGCTTGGTAGGTAATCTAAATGTTTTAATCGCCGGAATCTGTCTTCAGTGTTCGAGCTCAGTTGAAAGCCACGATTTTAGATAAAGAAAATTTTAAATTAAAATTATTATTATTATTTTAAAATATATGTGTTTGGGTAATTAGTCTAGCCAATTAGTTTATTTTTCTTTTTTGATTTTTTTATCACTTTTGTTATTAAATACAATTAAAAAAGCTTTAGCGTCCGTCCCCTTTATGTGTATGTTTAATCACATCAGCGCAAACATCACATTTTAGTTTAATGAATTCCTAAAAGATGAAACGCGTCACGCGAAAAGGTTTTTCTACTTTGTCATAGATTTTCCTAAAATTGTTCTGATATATATAAAAGAAATCATATATCGTTTTCTCAAAGGTTCTTATCCATTTTTGTAGAATAAAACTATGGACTATTTAAGGAAGGAATATTCAGGCGAAGAAAAGTGTAGAATTGACAGTCATTTCACTGGGTACAGTTAATTTTACGCAGGGTTAATTTTGGAAGCAACATTTTTAAAATTCGCGTTCCAATGCAAGAACATTTACTCTTTGTAAATTGTGAAGCATGTAAAGCATTTATCATGGACGTCCATAAATTTCCATAAGTTATCCAAACATAATTTTCTATCGTGGAGTTAATCAAATCCCAAAGACGTCACGAAAAAAAAAAAAAAAAAAATACAATAGATGGAATCTCAAAACCAGATTAGAAATTTCGATGCATAACATTCTTTTTAATAGCTTGTAACGAAAACATTCTGATCGGAATTAAGTATTGATCCCATTAATAAATATTTTGTCGAAAATGTGTTTAAGAAGAACTTCTTATCTGATTTGAATATTATACTTGAAACAATTGCTTTCTGTCCGCCAGAACGTCGTCTTCGATTGTACTATGTGATTCATGCTAGGAAATACCAGATAGTTTGAATAAATAACCTCTTTTCTGAGAGAAGTTTATCTGTTGTGTCCCCGATATGTACTGAGATCACCCAAGATGGAGCGAAAATAGATTTTTTTCGCTCAGAGCAACAAAGAAGCCAGGCACATCAGCGTGATGACGTGAAAAGTAACCTCATAACCACCAGATGCAGATTCACGCCTTACAAGATAATCAGTGGCTGTACACGTCATGTAAACATGTAAACGAACCAGCTGAATTTCATTTCCTGAAATACTATGTCAAAGAGAGGTAATTTGAGTGACTTTGAATGGGGAATGATCGATGGTAGCAGATGGGTGGGTATATCGATCTATTAGGGTTTCCAGAGTCATCTCTAAGACAAACAATGGTCAGGAAAAGAACAAATTTCATTGAGCCGTAATTCTGTCGATGAAAATCCCTTATTGGTAAAATAGGAGACCTATGGCCAGACTGGTTTAAGTTGATTATATATAATTATATATGTAGTAGAAAAATGTATTTACTTGGCACTGAAATACACGCGTTGCGGGTACACCTTTATGCAAATTTCTAATCAGCCAATCTCGAGACAGAAATTTAAGGCACATAGACATTTATAGCCATGACGACCTGCTGAATTTCATTTCATGTATTAGTATGGAAAAGCCAAGTATTTTAATTGACTTGGGAAGCTGCATGGTAGTTTGTGCTTGACAGACAAGTCTGAGTATTGAAAAAAAAACTTGGTCTACTCGGATTTTCAAACACAACCATCTCTAGAGATGACAGAGAATGGTCATGGAAAGAAAGATCCATCGAGTAGAAGTTCTGTGGGTGGATTTGTTCTTGAGAGAGTTCAGTGGAGAATGGCCAGGCTGGTTGGAGTTGATAGAATGGCGACAATAGCTCAAATATCCATTCTTTACAATGAAGGTATACAGAAAAGCATCTCTGAAAGCACATCCCATCGAACCTTGAAGCAGATGAGCTACAGCAGAAGAAGAAGACAATTTAGTAAGAATCACAAAAATTGAAAAATGAAGACTGGAAAAACATAACCTAGTTTCATGAGTCTCAGACTGCGGCGAAATTCGGATGACAGGGTCAGAATTGGGCATAAAAATCATGCAGATATAGATCCCACCAGCATTGCATCGACGATTCAGTCAGACGGTGGTGGTGTGCAATGGAAAAAGAAATATTTTCTTGGCCTACATTGTGACCGTTGTATGCAAGAAAAGATCGCATAAATACACAGAAACCTACATACGTATTGTGACTAACCACTTGACTCAACTTATGACTCCAGACTTACGGCCTAATCACATTGAAACACTAGTACGACCACCGTAGTTAAGTAATGTAGAGCCTGGTCAGTACTTAGATGGGTCATCGCTTGGGAATATCAGGTGCTGTAAACTCAGATGTACGGGTGGTGTAATGGATAATGGCTCGAAATTGCCAATCGGAGAGCCGTGTTCCAATTCCCGTTGGGTTCGTTATATCCACTTATTCGCAAATACCCATGGCAAAGGTATGAATCCACCTTTTCTCCTCCCAGATATGCGTTAATTAGTAAGAGTTGTATCACTAAACCATTATTACCCCCCCCCAAAAAAAAATCTTACAATGTAAACATATTTTCTGGCTTTAGATAACCTTTAAAGGGTTGATAAACTGTAAGAAAGGATCAATCAATTTATAACTTCGATACAACGCACAGTGTCACAAATTGGCCCTGATCTGGCATCTTGTCTGTAGTCGCTCTCTCACAGACGTGCCGTCGCCTCCCTCTGTCTTTTTTACAAATACTTTCACGGTAACTTCTTTGATGAGCTGCTTTCTCTGGTTCTCAGACTTCATGAATTTAAGCGTTCTACTAGGCTGGCATCTTGCTCTCACCCTTTCACTGTCGAAACTGCTAAATGTAGTCGTCTCTTCTACTCCAATAGTTTCACGTCTCGCACCTCTCGCCTGTGGAACTCCCCCCATTTCTTGTTTCCCTGAAAGCTATAATCTCCAACTATTCAAATGTAATGTCAATCGACGTCTCCAGATGCCCTGATCTATCCCCTATCCCTCTCTTCATCCTTTCTTCTATCACTCCTATTTGCTCTCGCTCCAACTCTCTGTAACCCCTTGTGTGCTAGTGGCTTTCCGCCTTGCTTGGGGTGAAACGCTTAAAAGAAAGTCAAAAATGATAACAGATTGGTACATGGAACACATCAAGGAGTTTTCTCTATTTAAAGTGACCTTCACAGTTTCTGGATTTCAGTTCAGATTTTTTACATACAAGACTAAAAAAAAAAAGGAGCGCTAATTTGAATAAATCAAGGTAGAGTAAAATTAGTCAGCAAAATTCAGAATGAATGTCATTGTTAAAAACGTGCTTCTAAATAATCCCTAGAAGAAAGATATGACATTTTATTAAAATTTCAATGTTTATTCTCATCATCGTCAGTAAATTATTATAATGAGCTGAGGATGATGGAAACGACAATCGCAATCCTATCGAAATGCTAACCAAATTCCCCCGACCCAAGCTGCTGTCTGTTTGTTAAATATTTATTAATTACAAGCATGCTTTTCGGAGTCAGCGTCACTTATTTTAGCAAAAACTTGGCTAACAGATTGGCTATATAAATAGAGAGACAAATTTAGCGCGCCAGTATAGAAGTAATAACTCATTTAATTCAGTAATAGTTGCTGACAAATCATATCAAGAGATTATTTAAGAGTATTTACCCCAACACCTCCCCTGTATATATATATATATATATATATATATATATATATATATATATATATATATATATATATATATATATGGTGCGTGTATACATATGTATGTATACAATACACGTATGTAATTGGAGAAACTAATAAGTATTTTTGTTCCTATAGATTTTGGAGGAAAGTGGGGAGGAATAAAAACAACTCATCATGCATATTATATATATATATATATATATTCACACACACACACACACACACACACACACATATATATATATATATATATATATATATGTACACATGTATACACGCGCAACCGCGCACGCACACACACATACATATATATACATATATAACTTATTTTCTGTTTCCAAATATTATAAGACTAATGGATTTTTTTTTATTGTTTCTTCTTATAAATCTTCTGGTATCTTATCAGCCGTTAGAGAGAAATAGAGAGAGAGAGAGAGAGAGAGAGAGAGAGAGAGAGAGAGAGAGAGAGAGAGAGAATTAGAGCGAGAGAGAGAGGGGGGGCAAAGAGATGCGGAGAAATAGCGAGATAAGTATAATGGATCTTTTTTCACCTTCCCTATTTAACAAAATTGTCTTTTTTCTTTTAGAGTAATTTTTTTGTCCTTGACTTTCATAGGGAGACCAAAGACGGAAAAAGAGGAAAAGAAGGCGTTTTACTCACCATTAACTTCCAATCAACAATTTCAATTTACGAAATGTAATGTTTTGCACCGGTTGTGTCTCTCAGAGGCCGCCATGTTACTTTTTAAGCTACAGCACCACTTTTTTTCACCGTCTTCTTTATCTCAATCGCTTTTCGATCAATTCTCAATAATCTTAGTTTTTTTTTTATTGTCTGTCTTCTTTCTCCGATGGAGATCAAGATTTAACGAACATGGGAATCAATAATAAAAAGTCTACACATTACTTTGGAACACCCATTGCGGTGTCATAGCTAACACGTTCGTCTTGCAATCCAACTCATTTATATAAAGAATTTGAACCCCTCGACACTTCACTGTTTGTGTCTTGTGCCATACTAAGAGATGCTTAGTAAAACAGTTTTTGTTTTAGAGAGCTAGTTAACAAAAGAGTCTCGAGTTCTCGGTGTTTTTCTTCCTTTTTGCATTGGCAACAAACTGTTTTTGTTATTCTTAAGCAAACTGAATTATTGTCTGAGCAATCTTTGTGTTGATTTCAACTGAAACTGCCGGGGGCTAAGTTCTTCTGTTGAAGTAGAGATGTTGGGTTTGTAATGTCAAATTATTGGTTAATTTGCAGTGTAACACCCGCACTCATTTCGCATTAAAAATTTCCAAAATACTTACATTTATGTGTAAATGCACATGCTCCATTCGAATCTGGCTTGATAAATTTAATAAAATCTACCGTTTTGGAATTATCGACAGTGAAATTTGGGATTCAATCGCATCGTTGGCGGCCGCCATTACTCGCGTTGTTTGCATACATTCACTGCGGAAAGCTAAACGCGGAAGACTACGGACAGCTAAGCTCGAAACTGATCTTTCTTCTCTAAATTTGTGGCAATTATTGCGCAAGAAAACTATTTTGCGCAATGATACCAATATTGATATCTATTCTGCAGCGAATGTATACAAACAACGCCCGTAATGGCTGCCAGCGACACGAATGAATCCAAACTTTCACTGTCGATAACTCCAAAAGAGTAGATTTTATCAAATTTATCAAGCCAGATTTGAATGGAGCATGTACAATTTCACATAAATGTAATAATTCTGGTAATTTTTAATGCAAACTGAGTGCGGGTGTTACACTGCAAATTAACAAAATTATTTATTGATTTTACTTGATTTTAGTCAATGAATTTCTTTGACGACCCTTCTCCTTGTTGCATAATCTGAATCATTGTTTTAAGGGTTTTCTAACTGGTACTTCTTTAGACAAACTCTTTATATGTCCTAGGAAGATGAATCTTCTTCATTTGATTGTTTTTCTCTAATGTCCGTATTTTTGTCTTATTGTAATGGGATTGGTTTAACTAATGGGCAATTAATTATAACTCATGGACAACTTTGAGTCTGCCTACGTAGGTTATCTACGACTAATAAATTTGATCATCATAACAATTATAGTATATTTCTTTGTGGATATTGAGGACAATTCAATGTGATTTTCTCTGGAAGGCGTTAATATTTTCCTGTACTAGTAAAATCCTAGAGTTCTGAATTGAATACAATGTAGGACAAAGGTTTGGGACCACCCCCCTTCCTTTCAAAAAATCCCAAAACATTGAAGGTTGCCTGCCTTTTACAAAACTAATTTATTAGCTCACTTCGATCCAAAGGGGTTTTCTCTCCGTGAAGGGCTTTATCATATTGTAATGACAAAAGTACGCAGATGTAGGTTTTAAGAAAGTTTTATTCAGCTGAGAATACAAGGTGCGCTTATAGTGTCCCTTTATAGTCCCAGTAAACAGAAACAGCTCTCTCAAAGAGGAGAGTAACAAAACTTGGCAAGCCCACTCTTGATTATTCATAACACCATATATTCAATAATAATAATAATAAACAAAATAATTGACGTAATCTTAAATTGCGCCCTTATCTTGTGAAATAATAACAATAATAATAATAATAATAATAATAATAATAAAAATAATAATAATAATAATAATAAAAACAAAATAAATCCATTACTGCATAAAGTTTGCTTAAAATTCTAGATCTTTTTATTTAATCTACCTTACTAGTTCCTGGTAATCTTTGGGTGGATTTAAAATTTTACGTAAACCCCCTCTCCAAAAACATTGGACACCGTGTACTAAGGAGTTATATTGTTTCATCATCCTAGCTTAATAGGAGTTAATTAAACCAAAGAAGGCATGAAACTTACTAATTATTAAATCCTGAGGGTAGCACCAATGTTTTTGGCCTATAGTGTAGAAACACACGATATGTAAAGACAGAATATTTTGGTTTTGAGTTGATAACAAATGATTCTTGACGTGAAGATGTTTTCACATTTTGGAATATTTAGAAGAGAAAGTCTCTTTCTATTTTCAATATGTCTTCTATCTTGCGCAAAACACACATTTAAAAATACATTTTTAGCGACGCATTACTTGAGTTTTGTAAACAAAGCCAAATATATAATTTAAAACTTACAAAAAAGAAAAGCAATAATTCAGTGGCAAATCTAACTAATAAACAAAGAAGAATTGGTAATTACTTGGATTTACTCTTAGTGTAACGGTTAGCGTCTCGGAATGAGAAATAAGAGAATGGAGTTGATTACATTCATTTTATCACAAGTATCTTTGGGGAAGGTATGAATACATTATCTCTTCTCCCTCCACTTATGGGTTAAATAGCACAACAGACTGGACGTGGTTGGCAAACAGTCTAGGAGAAGAACAACTCTGAATTCAAAACCATAACAATTGTCTATAGTCCCCGATTCTTAGTAATAAATAAAAACCAGCAACACATTTTTGAAAAAAAATATCACCAATGCATTTGACTCTCGACCAAAACTCTCTTTACAAAAATACGTCAATGAAACTTGATGTACAAAGTGATTCTTTACAAAGAATACATATTCTATTCATACGAACCTATTCTAAAAATCTTGTCGGCATTAAATAACCAATTGAGTTCTTGATTTGCCATAAAACAAAATAAACCAAACCAAGCTAAACTAAACCACCCCTACCAGTCTCCCCTTACACAAGCTTGTATGCAGGTAACTCAATGTTTCCCTCTAGATTCAGTATGTGCAATGAGTGTCAGATTCTCTAAGCCTTCTTTTCTCATTATGTGCCATAGAAATTTTAAGTGAATCTTTCTAAGTATAAGGATTCTTTTTGTTTTCATTTCATTTGAATCTTCCTTATGATTCACATGTTTAGTCCATGGTATTATCGCCATTCTTCTATGGAACCACATTTCTGCTGCCTTGAATCTCTTCTTCATTTGTGAGGAGATTGTCCAGCATTCGTTGCCATAAAGGAGGATTGATATTATATCTTACAGGATGTGTGTTGTGGCGTAATGGGTAACTGCACTTAATTCTAGTAAGGGTTGTTACATTCACATACACGCAAATACCCCCCTTGGCAAAGGTATGAATGCACCTCTCCCCTACCCAGTTGAAGAGCAGGACAGAATTGATCGTATAGCCTTCGTTGGCAACCAGTCTACCACAGAAAAAAGCGGCAACCTACTGTGTGAAAATCTTCCGCCTGGTCAGTCATGAATCGTCCAAGCGTGAATCACGTACGGCACTTAAATGAGTTGTTTACCGATTGATATTACATAGCAGTTCGGCACTCTTTTCTTTGTTTCTAATAACATTTCCTTGTTTCTTAATACTTTGCTTCCGTATTATTCAAATTATTTATTTTTGTCAGTTGAAACGATGTTAGTAAATGTGCAAGAACCTGCTTCTATATTATGCTCTGTCTGCTATAATATTGAACTGATGACTTACAAACCACTAGGCCATATCTCATAGCAAGTAAGACTTACAAACCACTAGGCTATATCCCATAGCAAGTAAGACTTACAAACCACTAGGCCATATCTCATAGCAAGTAAGACTTACAAACCACTAGGCTATATCTCATAGCATATTCAAGTAAGAATTCTTTTTAGTCTTAATTTGTCGGTACTTTTCTAATTACACTGCTCAGCGCAAAGACAGATTGGTATTACCAGGACGAATTGATGGCTACAAGTTCTGAAAATTCCCATGGAAGAATATTGGACATGACAGGTACAGAAATGTGAACGGTAAAGGCCAATAGATTAGCTGAAAAGGAGGTTTGTTCAACATTCAAGCAAGGCAGTGAAATGCATCAGAATATTGAGAAAGCAGACGACATGAAACTTTGTGATAGAAACAGCAAAGAAGCAAAACTGATCTGAAAGAATTCATGTTAATTCAATCAGACAGAAATTGGAGAGTATAATTGTTTAAATCTTGTGATAAAAGATAATGAAAATGAAGACACTGGTGTGAATGTAGCGCTATGTAATATAGCAAAAACTCTAAGTAGAAGCTTATGAAGCTTTATTTGACTATTTCAATATCTGTATGTATTTTTGAGATGAGGTATTTTAATTATTTACATTATTTACATTGTTCGGACTATTGTCCTCATCTTTGTCGCCATATTCACGACGTTTCGGCCGTTTTTCTCTTCGGCCTTCTTCAAGATCTTCCTATACTCTGAGATGAGGTATTGTAATTATTTACATTATTTACATTGTTCGGGCTGCTAGCCTCATCTATATTACCGTATCCACGACGTTTCGGCCTTTGTACGCTCCGGACTTTTTCAGGTGATTGGAATTCCGAACTTAATCCGTTATTTCGTCCAGATTTTTCTAGTTCCACGTGCCATACCTCTTCCAGATGTCTCAGTTATCTCCTTTTAACTCAAATCTCCAAGTTTTTGTTCACCACTGCATTGGCCAGGTATTGAACTCACGACTCTTTGGGTCAAGTCACTGGATCCCTCCAACGGTTTTATCCACTGGGCCATGTACCCTTGAATACTGTCTACCCAGGTGGATGAAATTCAAATCACCTGAA